TTTTGAAAAATGCTTTCTAAACAACTCTGTGCTTTTACAAATTTACTTTGGGGAATCGCTAAAAATTTCTTTGAATGCCCTTTAAAATAATCTTGTTGCTATTTTTGGTGTTTGTTTGTTTGTTTGTTTGTTTTGGATACAGAGGCCTGCTGTGTTGTCCAGGCTGGAATGCACTGGCAACATATTGGCTCACTGCAACCTCCACCTCAAGGGTTCAAGAAATTCTCCTCCCTCAGCCTCTTGAGTGGCTGGGACTACAGGCGCACACCATAACACCTGGCTAATTTTTGTATTTTTAGAAGAGACAGGGCTTCACCATGTTGGCCAGGCTGGTCTTGGACTCTTGATTGCAAGTGATCTGCTAGCCTTGGCCTCCCAAAGTGCTGGGATTGCAGGTGTGAGCCACGATGCCTGGCCTGTTGCTATTATTTTGAAATGGCATAAATTACTAAGCAGTAAGTAGGCTTTCAACTTGTGCCCCTAGACACTAACTTAATTGGTAGATTGAACCAAGTCACTTGGTGTTGAGGAAAATACTTTCCTTACCACCTTATGTAAAATAAGCATCTTAAAGGCATCCTCTCTGATCTACCTAAAACTATTGCTTTTATAAATATTTTTATACGTAAGCTTTAAAAACAGTCTTCTTTGTTATAAAATGAAGTGTGTCAAAAGTAAGTTTTCAGTTAGGTAAGATTTTTCATCCTTGCTTCTTTCTTCCTGTTCTCTTTCTGCCTCCCCCACCACCACCCCGGGCACTGCCAGATTGCTTAAGGCAGCTTATTTGAAGACACATCATTTCAAATGTTAGGACATTTGAATAGGTATATTTTCAATAAACTGGTTTTAAAGAACAACATAAAGTCTTTTTGGTCTAAATTTCTTTCCATTTAGAAGAAAGCTGGTATAAAAAGTTGACCTGTAACAAGTCAAAACAGATTGTGTTCATTAGAAATGAGAAGTAGTCTTTTGTTGATGTTTTATGAAATGGGATGGCAGGATCTGGCAGATGGCAGCATCTTTTTTGGAGTCTTGCTTGTGGTAATTGTGTTTGGTCTTCAGACTTTGTTTGGAAGTAGAGGCTGGCCCAGCAGAGGTGGTCATAGTACAGCCTCAAGTCGTCAGGCCCAGGTTTGAATCTGGGCACCACCTCGTACTATATGTGACATGGAGCTCAGGACATAAGTTGGTTGAGTAAAATGGGGAGAAAAGACATATTTTTCTAAGGATTAAGTAAGAAAATCAGTGTGAAATGCCTGGCACAGGAAGTACAGCACATAAGCTGTATCTGTGTTCATTTTCAGGGCTAAAACTTCCCATTTGACTTTTAGAGGCACACACTCGCATTCTGTCTCACTCCCTCTCCCTCTCCAGTTTGTATTTGCCCTCCAACTCTGCCCCACCCATGGAAGGGTGACTAAGATAGTTTTGTTTGGGAAAGTTTTACATTTAAGACCTTTCAAAACAGTTATTTGAACATCTGGGTGTGTATATATTCTAGTCTTTTCTGTTGAAGTAACAGTCTGGACTTACCTGTCTTAATGTCTTACAGAATTTTTTTGGCTGTGAATTATGCTGCTCCCTTTTCCTAGAGCCCTGCCATAGTCTGACTGTCCTTCTTCTCCTTCCTAGCTCAGTTACAAGGCCTAGGACCAGATTTGGGAGGCTTCCTCCAGTCAGGGAATTGGCTGCACCTTTCTTTGGGTCCCTCCCTAGGTCTCTGTCTTAGCACTTGACAAATTGGGCTCTAGCTTTGCTCTTTCAGAGCAGGACTGCATCTTTGTGTCTCTTGCATAGTTATCCTGACGGTTACTGGATAAATGTGTGAATTAAGCTGCATGACTTTAGATAGATCACCTAAACACTGAAACTTGGTTTCCTCATCTATAAAATATGGCTTTCCGCCCTGGACTGTCTCTCACTAAGGTCATCAATAAAGTTGCAGTTGCTGAATTATGTGGTGAGTTTTGAAATTTATACCCTAGGACGCTAGACAATGACCACTACTTCTTGACCCACCATCCCCAGGTCTGCGCATTCTCACAGTTCTCAGAAGACTGCTCTTTGGTGGCTCCTAGTACTTGGCTTTGGAAGTGTCCGTTGCAGCTCTTTAGAATTCTGCCTCATGTCGTCTTGTCTTTCCATAGCTTTCCTTCAGCTGTGTCTGTTACTCCCAGATTCACAGCCTGGTGGCTCCAGAGCAGTCTTCCCACACCATGTGTGGAGTGTGCACATATGTCCCCTGGGCACCCTCACACTAAGCATAGCTGAGGCGAAGTTCATTCCTTTCCTAGAACTGCTTTTTCTCCCTCTATTTCCCTGTTTTGATGAACACTGTCATCATCCAGCAGCGACTTGTTGTGTTTTCCCACTCCTTAATCCCCTCATCTGGTTACTAGTCCTGACAGGTCCAACGCCAGGTGCTCTTCGAATTGGTCACTTCCTCTATTCCCTGGCAGCTCCAGGTCCTCCTTTCTCAAGCGGACTGGAAAGGCAGCTTCCAGCCTGCTCTCGCATACTCCATGTGTCATCCCTTCCTTCCACTGTAGAGGTGGAGGGTCAATCTCATCGCTTCCTTGTTTTAAAAATCTTCCATGGTTTTGTCATCACTCTGGGCTCAAATACCTTGGCATGGCATGCAAAACCCTCACTTCTGAACTACTTGCTTCCAGCCTCATCTCTCGTGATCCCTGGCATGCTGTGCATTCGCGCTTTCATGTCCTAGTGCTTCCTTCATGTTGTTTTCTTCCTTCAGATGCCCTTTCCTACTGTCCAACACATTGCTTCTCACACCTTGAGGATGATAAGAACTTGTGTTTTCATTTTATTTTTTATACGTATTTTTGGGCCTATCCTCCCAAAGATTTTGAATGAGTGTCCAGAGTGAGGCCTGATCTCATTTTCTTTATCTGAAAGATGATAATGTTGAAGAGAGATGATTTCAAATATTCTGTAAAATTCTGTATGTGTGTTGTCCTCAGATGCTTAGAAAGAATCATACTTTGTTTTGTAGTATAAGAATAGACAGCTGTGGAAAGGGGGAGGGGAAGCTGCCCCTCCGATGGTTGTCGAGATCAGCGGGACTGGGAAGCGCTGTCCACCCAGCTCACTCCTCACCTCCTTCATGGCATGCACCCCTTAAGGCTCTTTCCTTTGTAGTATCTTAAAGGATGTTCTACATAACTGTTAAGAAGGCTCTAATGTTGGGTTGATGTTCCTTCTGTATATGTTTGTTTTCTATTAGGTTCTAAAGTCATCCAGAACTATGGCCGGGACCCATGGAAGATTTTTTAGATTTACCATATTTGCCCATAGTAGATGCTCAGGAAATTTTTGTGAATTAGTAGCTATCTGAAAAAAAGAAATAAGAGCTCTTTGAAGCAAAGTTTTAAACTGTAAGAAGCCATGTAGATGTGAGTAGTTAATATGAAGAATACTAATTTTTCCGTTCTGTTTACTTTTTGCTTAATTTTAAAAAATGCTGTTGGAACCCTTTAGAAGGCAAAAAATATTAGAACCTTTTGGAAAGACATTTTGCTTTTATTGAGTCTGTTTTAAAGAGCAGTTGCTTCTTAGACAATGTACAATAATGTTCAACTCTTATTCTCCTTGAAATGTGAGAAAGAGAACATACTTGTCTGTGTCTTTAGGCAGAGATATCTCTATGGGCCTATCAAAATAGCTACATGTAGATAGTGTGATTTCTTCACAATGTAGGTGCCTGAAACACTGATTGTTTTCTTATGTATGTTTTTGCAAGTTCCTAACGTCAATGGATTTTTTTCTTTTATTTATAGACTTTAAGACCTACTATTCCTAAGATTCTATTAGAATATGTTTCATAAGAGAGAAATGGAGACTTTGGCCAGGTGTGATGGTTCATGCCAATAATCCCAGCACTTTGGGAGGCAGAGGCAGGCAGATTATTTGAGTGCAGGAGTTCCGGACTAGCTTGAGCAACATAGTGAAAACATGTCTTTACAAAAAAATGCAAAAATTAGCCTGGCATGGTAGTGTGTGCCTGTAGTCCCAGTTACTCAGAAGGCTGAGGTGGGAGAATTGCTTCATCCTGGGAGGTGGAGGTTGCAGTGAGCTGTGGTTGCACCACTCTAGTCTAACCTGGGATACAGAGCAAGACCCTGTCTTTTAAAAAAAAAAAAAAAAAAAGGATATGGAGATTTTTCTCCAGTCTTTACATGTCATGAGAGATTCTTATTCTCAGCCTTTTTGCTTGGAGGGAAAAGAGCAGCAGCAATCTTACCAAAGTGTATTTCACTTCTGTAAGTCAAGAACAGTTTAGTTCCTAGTGAACTATGAGTAAATTTAAAAACTGAGGTTAGTGGACTTGAGCTTTCTGAAAGCTACTTTGTCCCTTATCTGATTCATTCCTTTCCCTTGGGAGCCAGTCCTTCAGATGCCTTGGAGCTCAGCTGCAGGTTCCCACTGTTCACAGTGGTGTTGTTTAGGTCACCATAGACTCTCCTTTACTCCCATTGCCACAGGCGGTCCTGCATCCCACCAGATCCTCCAAGCCCCCTGGTGCCCTTAATAGTCTCAGGGAGCTTGGGGACTTTGCCTCTCCTGGAGCTTTTGTGAAGAAATGTAGTGATCTTCTTTTTCACCAGTTACAGGGTTCCCTCAGTCATTAAAACAAGTTTCTCTTCCCCTTAACCCATAGGTGCTCTGGGCTTTTTGTTTATGTGTCTGCAAACCAGTGTCAACCAGATTCTTCCAGGTGTCCTTCTACACCTCTCCGCACGTGGCCATACCTGTCCCCTCCCAGGTGTAGCAGAGACCATATTGGTGGGCATTGGCCCATCACTTGGAACTTGAGGTTCATCCTTGCGATTTCCCTTAATTTTCGTTTTTGGTTTGTGTACTTGAAAAATCTTAATTTTTGTATAACTTTAGTGGTTTTTTTTCCTGAGAATTTCAATGTAACATGAAATGAAAAATTCAGGCCTGTGTTGCTAATATAAAATTTTAATTTTTCTTTACAGGTCAACTTTGTAGTGTGCCAACTCTTTGCCTTGCTAGCAGCCATTTGGTTTCGAACTTATCTACATTCAAGCAAAACTAGCTCTTTTATAAGACATGTAGTTGCTACCCTTTTGGGCCTTTATCTTGCACTTTTTTGCTTTGGATGGTAAGTAATTATTTTGATCCTTTTAAAATGAAGACTATTTGGATATATTTGAAAATTGAGTGTGTAGAAAGATATATTATGTAGGGTTTTATTCTTATTAAGTTTTTTTCCCAGACCAACTTTTAAATTTTTATTTTTAAAATAAAAAATAAAGAATGGAAAATGGGCTCTCTCTTTAGTCTTAGAGGAAAATTTACTATTTATAATTTATGAACAGACGGATGAAAAAGGATATAAGGCATTTTATTCTGTCATGAGTTCTTTACACCTATTTTGCATACCTTTTATACTGACAGAAAAACCATTTAAAATGTGTTTTTGTTTGTTTGCCTGTTTTTTCTCTGGGAAAGCAGCTTTTAAGAGTCTGATAAAGCCTATTGATAGAACTTTATTGGCATTTTTTTAGATTCTGCCATTAGCAAAAAGAGGCTTTTTGTTGATTTGTCTGTTTTTCATGGGGAAGAATTATTTACGATGGAAACCTTTTATTTCTGACTTTTCAGATGCATGTTTGTGTTTTCTTTCATTAGGTCTCTTTTTCAATCCTTAGGGCTACCCTGAGAACCTTAAATACATAAATACTGTACTTCCTGTTTGTTACAGGTGACTGTAGCTGTGCATGTAGAAGAAATCAGAAGGGCACACTGTCTTGGCAAAACAGCAAAGACTCTTAGTGGCAGTCTCTTTGTGGTCTCTTCCTGAGCTTTCCTTCTTACGTGAGCACTTGTGCTGCATGCTCATCTGCTGTAGTGTTTGCCACTCACAGGGAAGGACTTCTAGGCTTGCTCTTCTGCAGATTGTTGTTTGATATCAGAATTCCCTGAGAGGTTGAACGTGCACTCACTACGTCTGTGCTTTAGTAGTTTCTGTTGTGGGGTGTAGAATCTGTGGGACTTTGATGATGCTTCTGTGTTTGTTCTAGGATGTTGTTTTTGATGTTTTGTGAGAGTTGGAATACAATGATATTTCTTAATCTAATTTTTGCCTCTGGCAATTGCAAATGTTTCGTAGATGCTCATGAAAAATTAAGTAGGGATAATTTATTCAGTCTCTACCATATTACCTCTGATAGACACTGACCTGGTAGATAGCGTTTAGTATTGAGATTTAAATATGACCTCTTAAATAAGCCCAAGTCTGGTCTTTTTTGCTTCGTTGACGTCACAATTATATATCACCATTTTCTTAAGGTTTCTCAGATGTTACTATTTAAACTTTTTGTAAATCATGCCATGGACAGTGTGTCTTTTTTTAAACTTTTGATTATGGAGCTTTTCAAACACAAAGATACAAAGAACAATATAATGAGCCCTCATATGCCTGTCACTCAGCTTCAACAATTATTAAAATTCCACCATTCTTATTTTATCCTTTCTCCAACTTATTTTTGTATAGTATTTAAAAGCATATCCCAGTCTATATATTTCATCCACAAATAACTTAAATATTCAGCATATATTTGGGTAGCATATTTCCATAAAGCATTGGGAAAGGCTTGTAGTTCATATTGGCCAATTCCAGGGGACACCATTCACTTTGTGGTCTATGGAGACAGAGTAGAAGATAAAAATATAAATATTATCTTTTACAGTTGTGTAACGTGGCAGTACTGCAAAAAAAGAGGATGCATCTCTTTACTTAGAAACCTTTTACTGAGGAAGTGTTCTCTTGCTGTGAAGCCTTCTTGGATGCTTTGTAACACAATGCCACAAGTAACCTGACATTGTTAATGTCAGGTAGTCTGAAGTATTTCAAATTATATGTGATAACCAGTATTTCTTTTCTTCTCTTTTTTTTGAGATGGAGTCTTGCACTGTCACCCAGGCTGGAGTGCAGTGGTGCGGTCTCGGTTCACTGCAACCTCCGCCTCCGGGGTTCAAGTGATTCTCCTGTCTCAGCCTCCCAAGTAGCTGGGATTACAGGTGCCTGGCACCATGCCTGGCTAATTTGTATTTTTAGTAGAGATGGGGTTTCACTATGTTGGCCAGGCAGGTCTCAAACTCCTGACCTCGTGATCCACCCATCTTGGCCTCTCAAAATGCTGGGATTACAGGTGTGAGCCACCACGCCTAGCCTTTGTTTTCTTTTTTAAAACAGGGTCTCACTTTGTTGCCCATGCTGGAAAGCAGTGACGTGATTATGGCTCACTGCAGCTTCAATATCCCAGGCACAGGTGATCTGTCCTTTTATCTCAGCCTCCTGGGCAGCTGGGATTACAGGTACGCGCCACCACACTTGTCTAATTTTTTTGTATTTTTTGAAGAGATGGGGTTTTGCCATGTTGTTCAGACTGATCTTGAACTTGTAGACTCAAGCAGCCTGCCCACTTCAACTTCCCAAAGTGTTGGGATTACAGATATGAGCCACTTTCCCAGCCAGGATTTTTTTTTTTTCAAATGAGTTATTTATTTTTTACTTAAAGGAGAAAGCTTTCCATATTCTTTCTTTGGGAAGAGGGATTGTTTATGCCTCTGTATCATGTGGAAGATAACTCTTTGTTAACTGGGATATATTCTTAACTAATAGGGATATATTCTTTTGATTTGCATTTCAGTACTTACTTTTGTAGGCTCAAAGACAATCGTATCTGCTATTGATTTTGACAACTTCCCTTTTGGAAAACATGTTAGTACTCTGTAAATATACAGGCATGCCTCAGAGATGTCACAGGTTTGATTCCAGACCACCGCAATACAGTGAATATCGTCATACAGCAAGTCATACAAATTGTTTTGATTTCCCAGTGCATTTAAAAGTTACATTTACCCTATAGTCTATTAAGTGTGCAATATAATTTTGTCTAAAAATGTACATATCTTAATTGAAAAATACTTTAAAAAACGCTAAGGAACATCTGGGCCTTCAATGGGTTGTAATCTCTTTGTTGAAAGAGGGTCTTGCTTTGATGTTGATGGCTGCTCACTTATCAGAGTAGTGTCTGCTGAAGGTTGAGGTTGCTGTGGCAAATTCTAAAAGTAAGGCAACAATGAAGTTTACCATAGTGATGGACTCTTCTTTTCACAAAAGATTTCTCTGTAGCATGTGATGCTGTTTGATAGCATTTTACCCACAGTAGAACTTCTTTCAAAATCGGAGTCAAACCCTGCCGCTGCTTTATCAACTAAGTTTATGTAATATTCTAAGTTCTGAAGTAAAAGCACAGTCTAAGATGGATGATTAGAGAGTTTCAGCATGCCTCAGTCACTTGGAAATAGCATGATAGTACATAAAGATCAACTCTCTGAGCCTAAATTCAAGAAGGAAAACAGGAATTCACCAGAATTGTGAAGGACGCCCCAGATCCTGAAGAGAACACTGGCACACAGCCCCTGTGATAGCATCCAGTTGATAAAAGTGAGTGAAGCCCCAGTACATGAGAAAGGCAGGAAGCCTCTCTCTATGTCTCACCTTTCCACTGAGGATCTGAGTAACCCAGTCTGAGGGAGAACACTTTGTTTCTCCAAAGCCCTGCAGCTAACTTGGGAAGAGAGTTGGGACACTTGAGGGACAGACATTGTGAAAAGCTGCAGACATTTTCCCAGACCTGGGTTGGAGAACAGGACACCATTTTTAATCCAGGCACATATGAAGCTAGCCATTCCTTGGTGACTCAGCAGCATGGCCATGCAGGCATTTCAAATTTGGTCCAGAGATTAGAGCACATACTCTGGAGTGAGGTAGGGGCTTTCATAACCAGAACTGTGGAAAGCATCTCAGCTGTAGGGCTAGAACTGGGCTTTCCTCCATTGCAAGCCCGGGGCAGGAGGAGAGCTGCTAAGTTGCAGTTTCTCCTGGGCAGCAAGACTTGCAGCCAAGGCCAGCTTGGCAACCTGGAACTGATCCACGTGTGCCATTGCCGGGTGTCCCACTCTGTTCTACTGATACTGAGGTATGACAGGGCCCTGTCTGCTCTACCCTCAATCAGAAATCCAGACATTTGGAGTGCCCATCTGCCTGGACCAGCAGCCTGAGCCAACCCCCACCCCCCGCCACCCCCACCACTGGACATAGATCCTGGTGCAGTGAGGCTTTCTGCTCCATGCCCAGGCAGATCTCCAGGCATTCAAAGCACCTGCTTGTCTGGTTCAGCAGCCTGAGCCACCCCATCTTTCCTGGACTTAGATTGCAGTTTAAGAGGACCGTCTCTGTTCTGTGCCCAGGCAGATTTCCAAGCATCTGGAATGGCAGTTCTTCTAGATTAGAAGTTTAAGCCTTCCCCTATTCCTGTGTAGAGAACATGGAGCCCAGATTGTTTCCCAGCTTCATGCCTAGGCCAATCTTGTGTGCTTGGTGGCTGCCCTCTGGATTCTCCCTTGGCACTTGTGTCTATGCTTGCCATCAATGGATCTGTAGGTCAACCGGCTCTGTTTGGCCCTGTTCTTAGTGCTCCCCCTTCCTCCTGTGGCTGAGTAGGGAGCTTAGACCACTGTACCCTCCACAAACAAGTTTATTGCCTGAGGCAATAGAGAGCTTCTGCCTGTAAACAAGGATCAAGCATATACTCAGCCATGTTGGCTGCAGCTGGCTTTCACCTTTATAAGCACCATTACACCATCTATGGACTTGTAGGTTAAACTCTGCTGCCCAATATAAAACCTGCCAAAAGAAGTGTGTAGGGCTATAGAAGCAAAACCAAAAAGCCCTAGCTAGAATTCTGTACAGTCACGCTCATTAAGGAGGGAGAAAAAGGAAAAAGGAAAGAAAAAAAATAACATTATAGGGAAAGAAAGAAAAAGAAAAAAGCCTTACCTGCATGAAAATAATTACAAAAATTAGAAGTGCCAGCATCTGTAGATGAGAAGGAACCAGTGCAAGAATTTTGGCATCATGCAGTGACACCACCAAATGATTGCACTAGATCTCCAGCAATAGGCCCTAACCAAAATAGAAACTCAGAAATGACAGATAAAGAATCAAATTATGGATTGCAAGGAAGCTCAGTGAAATCTAAGACAAAGTTGAAAATCAACACAAAGAAACTTCTAAGGCAATCCAGGAAA